AAAAATAAACCGAAAGATTTTCTATTGACAAAACAAAAATAGACCGCAAAACAACCCTTTAATACCATTACATCCCTCTAAAACGCGACATTCAATAATTCCATCGCCCGTCAATACCTAAAGTCCGCTGGAGTGAAATTTGACGCACCCCAAAACTAGCCCCCTCGCTTTGACAGCTAAAACTGTCAACTGTCAAAAGCAGCGAAGACGGTTTAAACTATGCGTTCCATTTTCGAACGCTTTTCATGTTTTGAGTCTTTTGTTGCGCCCCTGTGGGCGTTCAATCTCTTGAGAGGGCCATTGTCGGTGGTGTGCACCGAGCCTTATTTAAAACTGGATTGATAAAGTTATGAGAGAAGATCCCATTCAAAATTACACGCTCGTTTTGCCGGAATAATTCCGTTTATTACAGGCGATGTAGTCTTACGTGTAAACAGATGTAGTATTGCTGGATGCTATATTACTCGTGCTCAGAATAAGTGAAAAACGATTTTTGCGCTAAATATTTTATACGTCAATATTTTACTATAACAATCTATGTAGCCTAGCTTTGAGTCTTACTGACCGTGATAGTCATAGGCCTTGAAATTTATACTCGTAGGCTCTAGATAGCTATTTACCCGCCTACTTTACTTTATAGTATGTTATGTATCATGGAAACCATGACCGTAAACACCGATTTGTGGAATACGCGATAATTTTCGTGCCCAAAAATACAGACGAAGCCAAGGGAAGTACAAACTTTTTGAGTGAATCTACACAAAAAGCCTCTTTAATAAAAAAACAAGAAGTAAAAAATAAATTCTTTCACGTTATTCAGTTGCCGATAAATACAGAATATTACAGCTTTTTTAGTAACTTGCAATCCCATTGAAACTAATAAAAAGTATTTATCCAGCATTCGGCCAAAACTCCGCGGGCAACAATACACTGTCACGTCTATGCTGAATTTTATCAATGCCTTTCATCGAATAGCCGTAATCGAGAGCTTTTTGTAGTGGACATATTGAATCGAATGGCCGCATCGATTACAATTATTGGAGCATCGAGCTTAGTCAGTCTGTGGCGCGTGCCACTCATAATTTATATATATATTTATTTATTTTATCTATTGAAACTTTTAACAGAACAAACTATGACTTCAGCGAGATATGCGGCCTGTCTGTCTATAGTCTTTCAATACTGGCAAAGTTTGTAATTGGAAACTTATAATTTCAGGAACACACACTCGTAAGGCCCAGAACACACGGTGAAACGCAACTGCAAGCGTAACTAGAAGTTGCAGTTGTGTTCTGGGCCTAAGTGTCATGAATATGTTTTTTGACAGATAAATTTACGCAGGCATAATAACCCGAAGGCATAAGCTACGCTATATGAGAAAGAAAACATAAATGCTACATTTCCTATGTGGCACATTTTCCTAATGTAGGTATTATAACGGTAGAAAGTAGGTAGGTAAAGTTGTAGGAAACGAAATAATAAGTAGCAAAAAGTATCTTTTTATTGTTAGGCAAATGTATATCTTATTATTATATACCACGTCTCAGAAATGAAGCACAAAAAACAAAGTTACATAAAATAGGCCGGTCCGATACAATGGGCTTGCTGCAAAACATCCGTTAGAAGAAAACTAGCTGGGGCCCGTGACTTCGACTGAGTGTAATAATTACTTCAAAAAGCCCTTTCCACTATTAAAAGTTTTTAGTTTTTTTATGGTAAAAAACAGTAATTTTCAGGAATAAGATTTAATTGTTTTGTTTATAAATATCCATAATATTTTTTCGCAAAAATCGTTCAGTGGTTTAGATGTCGGTTTTTCAAAAAGACTGAAATACCTATGGGCATTTATTTACTACAATCAATTTTATACACAAAAGTTATAATATAAGATTCGTCATATAAAATGTATTCCCTATTTCACCCTATGTAGGCCATACGACATGGTCTCTATCTTTGAGCCAAAATCCATCCAAATTGGTGCAGCTGGCGTGAAAACATAACAGACAAATCAAGCCACTACGAATTTATAATATTAATGTATTATAAGCTAACCTATTACTAGCGCCAATAAAAACGTTTACGTGTAGAAATTCGTATCTCCCACTGGGCATAGAATAATTGAACAGCGGGTCGGGCCCGAGTCACGAGACAAAATCGTGAGCCGTGTTTTTTGCCTAAATTGTGGCTACTGATCAGGGGCGTTGTTTCTTTGATATAGACCATTAAAACTAGACGATTATATTTTTACATTTAAAGCTTTCTTTGAAGAGTGCCACCGGCTTTACTCGGCGCGTATGAACAGTGTAGGGGCGCGGCGACGGCGCGGCGGCGGCGCGGTGGCGGCGTCGTGTGCAGGAGCGCTAATTAAGCAGATGTTGATTTATATGTCACATCTGTTTTATTAACTAGCTGTGTATACGCGTCTTGGTGTACGTGGAAAATGATTTTCAGAATAGTGGTAGCAGGGCCTAAAATATTCATCATCTTAGTGCCATTTCCAGAATTCTCGTCTGACAACGTTTTCCTTCAGTAGAAACGTATCCAGTGTCAATTTGCCCGTGACCGCGACCTGGGTTAAAATCAGGAAATAATTCTACCAACGCAATAATTTACAAATCACGAAATTGTTCCGATAATTTCAGCCAACTGCAGTCCACTGCTGAAAGCAAGCCTACCCCAACGAGCGGTTGGATCACAACCTCTTTTTTTCACTCAGCTATGTGATAGTCGGTCATTCGAGTCTGGGTCAATACTTAAACGTGACATTGTACCCATATGAATCGATTTACCCCTCTGCAATGGTTTATCATCATGGTACTACCTATGTGAGTGAGTTCAGTCTACTTGTCCGACTTTTTGTCTTAACACAGCATGAGTTGAATGAGATTTAACATCGAATGAGCACAGCTTACAATACAGAAAAGCCCTTCGTGCAGTTTTTATTTTGGGGCAATGTTATTGAACGTAACGGAATCGAATCGTGATTGTCGGAGGTTCAATTCGTAAATTATATTTCGGAATCTGAAGTTTCCAACCAGCAAGTTTTACTGTTCCTATATTAGTTAATATATTTTATTTATATTGTATCTAAGCGAACTGGAAAGGGCCTAAGTACTGAATAAATGATTTGATATGATATTTCCGACTTGGTACATCATAAACGGTCTTTCTTTAGTATGATGCTAGCAAATATTTTCTTGCACACTGACATTCTCACATTATGTGAACAAACGTTATGAATTTACTTGAACATACTTATGATAATTTACAGCTAAATAATTGGCCGAAAATGCATTCAATATAACATACCTACATAGAGCGTTATTTGTACAGTCAAGAGAATTCATAATGTATTCACGTAAATTAAGTATTGCTTTCCGTAAGAAATATTTTATTATTGGGCAAAAAGCAAAATGAGATCTTTAGTATAACCTACATGTAAGAATTTTCAGCTGAACAATGAATATGTATAATTAATTGATAAATGTATTAGGGCAGGTGATTACAAAGCCCATGATAATGTTAATGGCGGCTGTCCTAACGTATCATTGTAATGGGCCCTAAAGACCCTTATGGGACATAATGACTGGCTGTCGAATGTTCGGAATAATATCTCTAAAACATTTGCCAAATTGTTTTACGTGGTAAATGTTCTTTACCCTTTGTGCATAATTTCAAATCATTTTAAAGCATTAACTGCATTATTTATCATAATAGGTATGTAGGCCATACTGGTGAATGTTACATACTTAATAGGAAAATGAGAAGTCAAAAACTAAATAGTATGCCTTAATTATGATTTCAGCATAATGTCGTAAAGTTCTTGTGATATTTGGATCTATTCTGTAGATTTATTAGAATCACGACTTCGGCTATTACAAAAAATAATGACGCTGTAAACTGCAATAAAAAAATAAAAATATTACGTTCAGTGTACAGTAAACTTTTTTTACGCGACAAAAATATTTATTTTTCACCCATCAACGGGCAAAGTAGACCGCGACTATTTGATATTTGGCAAGTCATATTATTGTGGTGTGCTACATAACCAGCAATGCGTTCAGTGACGTAAAGTTGCGGCTCGCGTTACATTGGTGCCTACTTTTCACAGTAACAATATCCGACCAATGGCATGCTATAAGACATTAGAAATATTTTCACCAAATAGCGTCTCAGTCGATTCAACTACTTTTTTTCATGAGGAAATCTACTACTACTGCTAGACCTAACTACAAGTTTCGATGTTGAAGTGAAAAACCCCTCATTTGATTCTATTAAAATACTTACCTTGAACATAAATCTCAGGACGCTAGTACCCAGGCCAAGGTCACATAGTAAACACAACCCTCCATAGGGTGGAGGGGAGGGAATATAGACGCAAGGTTTCTGAATAGGGGGAAGAGTAAGTGTTCAAAAGTGTTCACTTGATGATGATAAGACGTGATCCACTGGTAGAGTGAGATACTTGACTACGAGCTTTTGGTTCCTCTTTTGCAGGCTAGAATCAACCTGGTCCAAAAAAGAAATGGTCACACTTTACGGAGCGTTGTTAGTGTGATTTAGGGGCCCCTTTTATGATGACACCATTAAGTCTAGAAGTAGGGTCATAAACCTCAGTTGTCACTAGCAACTAGGTAGAAGTTGTCTAAAACAAAATGCTTCAACGTCATGCGTCAACTATCAACTTACCAGCTCTGAGCGCGTTCATGGGTACTCTAGGGTACGGTATCGAGTACGGGTACCCCCCTTCCTTAATATTATTGAGCCTACTAAGATCATTAACCTCAGTTGTCAACAGCCACTCGATAAAAGACAACTAAAACAGCATGTTAATAGTAAAACTATAGACTTACCAGCTTTGAGAGTTTCCATGGGTACACTGGGGTACGGTATCGAGTACGGGTACCCCTCCTTCCTTATTTAGCGATGTCTGAGCCTAGCACTCAATAAAAGACTTTTAAACAGCATAATATTAAGTAGTAAAATCAGTATCCACTTACCAGCTCTGAGCGCGTCCATGGGTACACTGGGGTACGGTATCGAGTACGGGTACCCCTCCTTCCTCAAGGTCTTGGGCTTCCTCCGAGGCCGGTACTTGTAGTCGGGGTGTTCCTTCATGTGCATGGCTCGGAGCCGCTTAGCTTCGTCAATGAACGGCCGCTTCTCATCTTCCGTGAGCAGCTTCCATTCTGCACCTGGAAGGTTTGGATGTGTTAATATTATACAAGATTGAAACACTACCTTTTAAAATACACGGAATAAACACAGACTTCATTGCAGTCGAAACTGGGTCTTCGCGGTCAAACTAATACACCAGCTGCGGTTGCAGGTACGATTCCCGCGGAGGTAAAATTTTCAGTAAAATTTGAATATCGAGCGAAAGATAGATGGCGTCAAGTGCCAATATCGACTGAATGCCTGCCTTGATAATGAATTCTGAATTAGTCGATAATCTAGTTCTACAGTCGCTACATAGCATTTAATTAAGACGCATGGCTTTCTGATAAGTTCTCTTTTATTCGCCTAAGTAAGAGATAACGACTGCTATACCCTAACCATGTGACTAGCTAGGACTACACCAAATAGTAAATTCTAGAGAAAGCAATTAATGATACTTCTGAAGAAAGTTAAAATTTGATTGAAATGAGAATCGATTCATGTGCACTTAAAAAGAAAAGATGTGTCTTAACCATAATGAAGTGCTCTAATGCTACCATCTACTTATCTGGGTAAGGAGACGTGATACCGCTTGATTGATTAAGAGAGCATACAAAACAAAGCACTATTATCCACAACAGAAGGCATTCGAACGTCTATCATAAGCCATTATGGGGAGTAACAAAAACAGAAAAGTAATTTGCTCTAACCATCCCTCATTGCATAGACAAAGGCATTGAATCGATACAATATAATCGAAGGCACGAACGACCTGTCTCCCAGTCGATTCAAAAGACCAACCCTTTGTCTCCGTACATTTATAGAAGGCTGCGTTGATACCGTGGAGGGGCGCCACCGTCCATACAAACAGACAAGACAATCCCGATTCAGGCGGACATAAAAGCGAAAACAATGTCTCCAACATAGAAAGGAACAATCCGGCTCGGAGAACCATCGGCCGTCCCGTTCCCGCGGGCACTATTCGGCGCTAGAGCGAGCAGGACAGCAACAACAATGGCGGAAAGCGCCGCCTAATGACGAATTTGCGCTTTTCATTCCTCAACAGAAATTTTTCCCGGTTTCTCATTATTCTGTCGATACTACGGGGAGGGTATTCAGCGCTTTGTCGTTTGGGATGATAAGGATCGCGTACTTACTGACAATGATAAGAATGTAACCGTCGCGGTGTGAAAGTAAAAGATTTATCGGAATGAAGTTTCTTTGTAATTTCCTTCGCTTTGAGTTACCTCTTTTTGGTTTCCGATGCATTTTGTATTCGTATCATAGTGCAGTTATGTTTTATGCATTGCTTAATATCGTTACGAGCGGGCCGTTCAGTGGTTTCCATAATAGTTATTTATGACCGTTGAACACGAGTTTTATGTACACCTGTAGATAATTTCCTGCATTCACCCGTATACTTTATGGGCATAGCGAATATTATGCAAATTTGTTTTTATTTAGATTGTGATAACATGAAATTATATCTTGTGTAACTAATTTTACAGATTTTGTTAGGTATTGCTATCGGTACCTGCCTGAAATCTAACCCGAAAATACTCGTGGGAAAATGTATGAAAAATACACATTTTTGTTTAATAAAATCTACCATAGCAATCGTATCTGTATCTACAATTATTTACAAATCCTTTGATGTAGATAGTATTTTTTTAATGTATGTATTGCATTTACAAAGTAATTAACGCAGACTGATCAAAATGAACAGCATGTATAGCGATAACAATCACAATACATCGAAGAAAACCACCTCATCTATGGCCTTACTATATCTTCAATAAATCTTTACAAGTCGCAAGTGTTTGTCGTAACAAAAGGCGTCATTTCTCAACGCGTCAGTCGATTTACATCAGAATCGGTTCAAAACAAACATGATCTGGCCACAAAGGCGCACACGCAAATATCGGTCGCTTTCCTGGTGACGGCTGTCAATCTTGCATTTGAGACAATGCTTTGTGAAGATACTGGCTAGGGCTTGAAGAAATACCTAAACAATCGGTAAGTCTCTAGGCCCGTGTTGTACATTGTTACAAGAGTATCTACACAAGTAGAAGAAGGTTCTACACAATTATCGATTGAAAGATCGAGATTTCAAGATCTATAAATCTTCCGAAATCCTGGGACTATATTTCAGTCAATTTCGTTCAATAGTTTTTTGAAAAGGGCTACCGGGCTACCGGTTGTGGTCATTGGCAGCACTAACATGCAAGTAAGGTCATGTTACTCATTGGCGTCCCACTGGCTTCTGAAGCGATTTTCTAAGCAGTTAACCACGCGAAATTTAATAGGAATTTTCTTTCAGTCTTCCCGCACACCGTAATATGTAGGGGAGAGTTCGGTATATTGTACCGCCGGGTAAATTGTACCACCCTCATATTTCGTAAAGTATTTATTGAATGTCTGTAATTGCAACACTCAGCGATACACAACTAAAATCAATTAATATCGGCCATGTGGTTTTTGCCGTGACAACAAACACGTGTGTTTTATTTTGAAAAGTATTTTTTCATTGTTTTCAAGTAACTTTTGACAATACATGTTTAGTTTGTAATTTTGTTAAATTTAATCACAGGGTGTTTCTAATATATTATTTAGAAGCGTAAATTAGTGTGGATTACAATTATTTGAAACATTTTTCGGTATTTATAAGCTATATTTTTTACCGATTTTTTAAAAGCACTATCACCTAGTCGGCTAAATTGTACCACATCAAGTTGTATGGAACTTTACCAAAGGATTTTGAATTTTTTTTTAGTAAATCATATTTTGAAGTTATAATAGCGTAGTTATGTTTGACTAACAATAAATGAAAGCAAAAGACTGGCAAAGTAGATTAGGTACAAGTGTGCGATACGATAATTGGAATTACAAAACTTGTACTCAAAATCGTGATAACGTGTAAAACAATATCGATTGTCTATGTTATTAACTACTGTTCCTCTTCGTTTCCTAATTTGTTAAGAATGTATCGTATAATGTTTTGCCATAGTTTTTTTAAAGGCTTGAAATTTATTGAATTCCAATTTAGTAACCCTGTGGTACAAATTATCGAACCGGTTGGCTAAATTGGACCGAAGCTCTGAACTCGTACTTTGTTAATTTTTGCTAAATATACAACAATTATGTTAATTAATACTTATGAAATAGTAAGTTGAATAATGTATCTTTTATTATATACCATGGACATAAGCAAAAACAAAAGAAAACTATGTGTAAAATGGGATTGAAAAAAACTGGTCCAAATTAGCGGACTCTCCCTTAGTTGCTGAATACAAGCGTGTCGAATACAATACAGAAAAGTAAATGGAGGAGAACCTCTGGATGAAATGGAGAAGGCCTAAGTCCTACCTATATTATCGACAACCCTGGACGACAATGTGTCAGTTGCCCTGTCGGAGACTTGCGCTATTGTTTTTGAAAACAATGTCGTGATTGTGATGGTAATGCCTCAACGACATTGGATGTTGTATTATTATTAATGCACTCTGTTGTTCTATTAAAGAGAGAAAATTGCTAATGTACAATATTTTATATTGAAAATTTGTTTTTTTTTATCCACAACGAGGAAGCTCTTGAGAAAACCTTACACCAGATATTATCTTATACGATTTTTATGTATTCCAGTCAATATCGACACAATTAATGGAAGAAGAGTTCTGAAGAGTTTCCCATCATAAAGGAGTTGTCTCAAATCCGGCCCAGAGCATGTTTATTATTAGAGCAATATTTGAAAAAGTAAAAGAACTAACGATTTTAGCCTCCATACAATGTGACATCTCTTTTCATTATTTTCTTTCCATCATCAGGTGGCTGAGTTTCTACCGCCACTTTTTCTCAGCACTTTTCTCGAAGTGAAGTGATGGTAGAGCAGGGCAGGATTAGCTAATAAACAATCAGAATTTGTGGAAATGCATGCTTTGCATAAATTCTGAAATAGAAATTCACGGGTCTCAACACTCTCAACGCGACATTTTTTTTATATTTTCTCTATTTTTAGTTGAAATGGAACGCGAAAGTTTTAAAATCTTAAATTCTGAAATGTTGCATTTCCAGATGAAATTAATGTGAGAGACATAAGCATTAGGTTTTAACATTGTGATCCAGCAAGTATATTTTTAAATGTAGATAGATACTGCAATAATCAACAACATGAAAAGCAAATAATATCAGTCAAAGAATAGAGAACCATCTACTCGTACAGGCCAGCTGCTGCGGTTGCGGTTTTGAATACTGCAAGGGAAAAAACTACCTAGGGAATTCCTACCTACATAAAATTTGTTAATTTCTCATGTAAGTGACTGTTAACTTAAACGTATGTAGATATATCCATGATTCGGGCTTATTTACCTATTAAGAAGAATTAGTTTACCATTAATTATGTCACTTTCAGTTTTTATACTACACTTTGATTGAAGATTTTTTTTTGTCAAAAAATGCCGAATACCGCTTTCATTGTTTCCCATCACAAACTAAGAGTTTCGATTCCTGAAAAACCTCTCCATCTACCCCCCACTTGTTTTAATTAACATCACCATTAGCAATTGAACCGAGACACGTGTCGACAACAAAGTATTGCCACTCTACAGTAATTATTTCCTAGCCGCCGCGAGACAATGCTGGCAACACTAACAATGGCGTCCGGCTGCAGGCAAGTTGGGTATTTAATAATTGCAGTACATTTAAATAATGTAGAGCATATGACGGTTGTAAATAACTGTTAATAGTTTTTTAAGTGGTGTTATTGAGCTATTTTTGAAACTTCCTTTACATAAACTGGAAGCAGCTCCTTTGCTAGAGATTAATACCAATAAATACTTAATAGCACTTTAAAAATGTCTTCAATTCTTAACACATCTTCAAGTAATTGAATAAAATTAACTAATCTTAGATACTAAATGTGAGTCGGCTATTACCGTTTTCCTCGAATCTTTCATTCCTTAATCTTCTTTAGTTAAGTGAATTTAAGTAAAATCTTTTGCCGTGATGGTGACAGAAATAGCTCTTCTGAGAAATAACAAAA